GTGTAGGATTGGTGTATGTAGGAGCGTATGGGAATTGGTACTGCTATGTACTAAATTTAGTACGATTTGATTTGTGGGTGACCCGAAAGAGTTGGAATCCTGATATTTTGATTTATGAACGCTGTGGAAGTGTAGAATTGAGGTGTGTAGGAAGTTTTGGAAATTCGTAATACTGTGTACTAAATTTGGTACAATTTGAATTGTGGGTGTACCGAAAAGTTTAAATCCTGAAACTTGGATTTAGGATCACTGAGAGGGTGTTGTTTGGGTTAAGATGGAAGGTTTTGAAATTCATACTGCTGTGTACTAAATTTGGTACAATTTGAATTGTGGGTGAACCGATAGAGTTTGAATCCTGAAACATGGATTTAGGATCACTGCGGGGGTGTAGGATTGGGGTATGTAGGAAGTTTTGGAAATACGTATTACTGAGTACTTAATTTGGTACAATTTGAATTGTGGGTCGACCGATAAAGTTGGAATCCTGAAACTTGAATGTACAAAATTTAATACTATTTGGATTTGTTTGAACCGATAAGTCTGGAATACTGAAATTGAAGAAATAAGCTTTTCATTGGATTATATGGTTATAAGATTTCTGTTGGATGGTTGAGGTGGGTACTTATGGACGTTTATATTAATGTGTCTTAAATGGAAGTAAATTTGGTAAAATTCGGATTTAGAGGTCGAATCATGAAATTTGGTACTTAATGGTTCTTAAAGATACTACTAAAAGTGATACAAATTGGATTTAGGTGAACCGATAGAATTCTGAAATTTGAAATTTGGTATGTTGGAATTAAGATTGGGGTATGTGGGAATTCGTAATTATGATTTTTATACCCTTCACCACACTGTGGTACAGGGTATTATGTCTTTGTGCATATGTTTGTAACAGCAAAAATAATCGAGATAGACCCATGGTTCCTTTTGAGAATATGCATAGAATCACTTTCTAAGTCGATTTATGCATGTCCGTCCGTCCGTCTGTCTGTCTGTCTGTGCATGTTAAATTGTAAACAAAGTACAGGTCGCATTTATGATCCGAATTGGATGAAATTTGGCATAGGTCACTTATTCGGCCCAAGGACGAACCCTATTGAAATTGGGAAGAATCGGTTTAGATTTAGATATAGCTCCCATATATATATTTTACCGATTTAATGTAAACGGTCCCTATATATCTCTCGATTTGCACGAAATTTGGTACAGCCTAATCATTTAGTTCTAGAATGATGTGTGCCAAGTTTCGTGAAAATCGGTCCAGATTTAGATATAGCTCCCATATATAGTTTCGTCCGATTTCATGTAAATGGTGCACCAAAGTCCCTTTATATCCTTCGATTTGCACGAAATTTGGCATAATGTACTGAATTGAGCCTAGAGTGATGTCTGCCAAGTTTCGAGAAAATCGGTCCAGATTTAGATATAGCTCCCATATATAGTTTCGTCCGATTTCATATAAATGGTGCCCCAAAGTCCCTATATATCTTTTGATTTGCACGAAATTTGGCATAACGTACTGGCATAACGTAGGTCAAGATTTACATATAGCTCCCATATATAGTTTCGTCCGATTTCATGTAAATGGTGCACCAAAGTCGCTATATATCATTCGATTTGCACGAAATTTGGCATAACGTACTGAATTGAGTCTAGAATGATGTCTGCCAAGTTTCGAGAAAATCAGTCCAGATTTCTATATAGCTCCCACATATAGTTTCGTCCGATTTCATGTAAATGTTGCACCAAAGTCCCTATATATATTTCGTTTTGCACAAAATTTGGCATAACGTACTGAATTGAGCCTAGAGTGATGTCTGCGTTGTTTCGTGAAAATCGGTCCAGATTTAGATATAGCTCCCTTTTATTATAGATTGATTTTAAGTAATTGACGCACAAGGAACCAATAGGAACAAAACGTTCTGAAATTAGTATAACCTATCCTGTGACAAGTTTGTTTGAAATCGCTTAATATTTGGATAACGCTTCCATATATATTTTCGCCCGATTTCAAGTAAATTTGGCATCAAACTCCTCATGTTAGTCAGTTTGACATCAAATTTTGCACAACCTCCAAATTTGAGCATAGAATTATGTAGTTGCGTTTTCTAGAAGTACAGACATAGCCCAACGGATGACCCATTTATATTTGTTTGAAGTCGATTTACATACTTTATGGATAGATCTACGTAGATTAACATTTAGATAAATATCACATATTTTATTTCATCCAATTTCATGCTAATAGTCCTGTTTAATATAACCATAGTGGTGAAGGGTATCATATAGTCGGCCCCGTCCGACTTTACTACTTTCCTTACTGGTTTTCTTCTTGAAAATATATCAAACACATCTAGTTATAATTTATGCATATTTCTCTACAAAAAAAATTAATAATTTTCCCACCCCTATTAAAAACAAATCATTTTCCAATTGTATATAATATTTAGCCTTAATTAGAAAATAATATAATACAAATGTTGATAAATTCAAATTTCTACCCACGTAAATATTGAGCTCATTAGCATTTTCAAAATATTCCAATTTTAAACGAAAAACGTGAAATGTCGAAAAAATTCCTAACAATTTTGTTCCTTATTTATTACTTCTATGTTGTTATAACGGTAAGGATTTTTCCTTCCAATTTTAATATTAATAAATTTTCCAAAATCTCCCCTCTCCTTCGCACAGATTGCCAAGCGTACCTCTAAGCTACAATTTTTTTCGTATGACTGCATCAACATAACCTCACACGTTCAAGTATTCGACTGTGTTTTCGATAAGGAGGCCAATAATCGTTTCATCTTTAGCGAACGTTTGATGCTGACACGGGATATGAATCGAAATTTTGAAATGCATTTATGGATCAGGGTTAAGCCATTGTTGGCCAAGAAGCCGCTGCAATTTCTCGATGTGAAATTTAATGTGTGCGAATTTTTGGATCAACCATTGCAGGTGCAGTTGTTGAGGGGACTGTTGATTGAGTTATTCCGTTCCAGCAATATACCATTGACGTGTCCTTTTAAGGGGGTGGGTATTTAATAATAGTAGAGTATTTTTAAAGGACTCTTTATTTCTATTTTTTCAGAATTTCTTATATCAAATGAATAATTTCTCATTTACCGATGCCTATTTTCCTCCCTACACCCCGGCATTGAATTTCACCTTTCAAATGGAATTTTTCGATAAGAAAACCATGTTTGCTATAACTAAGATATCAGGGGATATTACACCATTGCGTTAAGCGGAAGGAGGCAACTGTTTCGGAATAAAAATTATTAAGAATATTATTTCACTATTTTTTTCTATAAATAAAATAACTCAAGAATTTATTTTTTAGAACCTGGGGAATCCTTAAAACCTTGGGAATTTTCTGTTATAGAAAATAATTGTTCTCATTTTTATACCCTTCACCACACTGTGGTACAGGGTATTATGTCTTTGTGCATATGTTTGTAACAGGCAAAAATAATCGAGATAGACCCATGGTTCCTTTTGAGAATATGCATAGAATCACATTCTAAGTCGATTTATGCATGTCCGTCCGTCTGTCTGTCTGTGCATGTTAAATTGTAAACAAAGTACAGGTCGCATTTATGATCCGAATTGGATGAAATTTGGCATAGGTCACTTATTCGGCCCAAGGACGAACCCTATTGATTGGGAAGAATCGGTTCAGATTTAGATATAGCTCCCACATATATTTTACCGATTTAATGTAAACGGTCCCTATATATCTCTCGATTTGCACGAAATTTGGTACAGCCTAATCATTTAGTTCTAGAATGATATGTGCCAAGTTTCGTGAAAATCGGTCCAGATTTAGATATAGCTCCCATATATAGTTTCGTCCGATTTCATGTAAATGGTGCACCAAAGTCCCTTTATATCCTTCGATTTGCACGAAATTTGGCATAATGTACTGAATTGAGCCTAGAGTGATGTCTGCGAAGTTTCGAGAAAATCGGTCCAGATTTAGATATAGCTCCCATATATAGTTTCGTCCGATTTCGTGTAAATGGTGCACCAAAGTCGCTATATATCCTTCGATTTGCACGAAATCTGGCATAACGTACTGAATTGAGCCTAGATATAGCTTTAGATATAGCTCCCATATGTAGTTTCGTCCGATTTAAGGTAAAAGGTGCACCAAAGTCCCTATATATCAATCGATTTGCGTGAAATTTAGCATAGAGTACTGAATTAGGTGCAGAATGATGTGTGCCAAGTTTCGATAAAATCGGTTCAGATTTAGATATAGCTCCCATTTATAGTTTCGTCCGATTTAAGGTAAATGGGGCACCAACGTCCCTCTATATCCTTCGATTTGCACGAAATTTTGCATAGAGTACTGAATTAGGTCCAGAATGATAAGTGCCAAGTTTCGAGAAAATCTGATTTAGATATAGCTCCCATATATAGTTTTATCCGATTCTATGTAAATGGTGCGCCAACCTTCTAATGTTTGTCCGATTAACTCGATTTTTTTGCACAACATATCAAGTTGAGACTTGAATAACGTTATTGCGTTTTGTGGAAATTGATGTAGATGCTGTCATAGCTTCCATATGTATTTCGAATGGATGTCTGATTGAAATTAAAATTTTAACAGTGCGGCGACCGAATAGAGTGTATTAATTTTGCTATAGGTCGTTTTTCATAAATGTATCCTATGGTACGAAGATGACTTTAAATCTGCCCGAATGAAATTAAATTTATCATAGGTTGCAGAAAGACTTGCTTATGTTCCTTGGAGGGGATACATATGTACAATATACCCAAAGTGGTGAAGGGTATCATATAGTCGGCCCAGTCCGACTTTACTGCATTCCTTACTGGTTTAAAATGACTCTCCTCTATATTTACCAATAGCAACCGGTGGCGGATACGTTGTGACAGTACGTATACTTACTCTGAAAATAAAATCATACAGAGTCGAAATCGGTGTCGTATACGCATTGATACCACGTATTCGTACGCTGGGCAACTTTAAGAGAATCTGAGCATTTTTGTCTGAACCAAAACGGTCTACCCGAGGAGATATTCAGTTAAATAGAAACTATCTCAATATATTTTCTATTGCCCAACGACACCCAACAATTCAATTGTCCTTTAAGACCATTGTAGATTGCATTCCCATAAAATTCCAGAGCATTCACGGACTTTCCTCGACCATTTGCTGTGCAGTGCAATCACGACCATTAACACTGTCATGGAATGCTTATCAGCGGCAGTTTTACAACTATTTATGCCAAAGCTTCCTTCCCAATGGGTTTCCTTTTAATAGTTTCGTTTTCTTGTATTTCTCCTTTTACTGGTTTTGTTGTTGCAGTACATCTCTCTGGGGCCTAAATTGTTGGCAATTGTTTTTCCCTAAGGCTGTTAAATTGCGATAATGCCAGCGGACAATGCAAATAAGGAACAACGAAATGGGTGAAAATGCACGATATTGAAAATAATTGAAATAAGAAATTGTCCAAAGTTAACCAGGTTGCGTATACGTGGTGTCACAATGTATACGCCACCGATCACTAAGGAGTTTTTTGTGATAGGAAATGGGCCTAAGGAGACATAATTTCCTGTAAAAAATAATCTTCAGAGCTTAAGGAAAGGTTGTTTCTAAAACAGAGGATCCTCATGGCCTGACAATACTTTTTTTCTGTGGACAAAAAACACTTTTCAACAGACAAAAATTTCTTGGGGCCTTTTTCAATAGCCTATTAGTTCCTCATGACCTGAGGAGATTTTTTCTATAGCCTAAAATTTTCTCACGAACTGAGAATACTTTAGTGTATACTTAAAAAACTACCGAGTAGCTGATGAAAACTGAAAAATTTTGTTTAAAGTATCTACACCTTGTAGAAGTCCCGAAAATTTGTATTTGAGGAATGTACGCCTTGTAGAAGTCCCGAAAATTTGTATTTGAAGAATGTACGCCTTGTAGAGGCCCTGAAAGATTGTATTTGAAAAATCTACGCCTTGTAGAGGCCCTGAAAGATTGTATTTGAAAAATCTACGCCTTGTAGAAGTCCCGAAAATTTGTATTTGAAAAATCTACGCCTTGTAGAAGTCCCGAAAAGTTGAATCTGAAAAATCTACGCCTTGTAGAAGTCCCGAAAATTTGTATTTGAAAAATCTACGCCTTGTAGAAGTCCCGAAAATTTGGTTTTAAAAACCTACGCCTTGTAGAGGCCCTGAAAGATTGTATTTGAAAAATCTACGCCTTGTAGAGGCTCTGAAAGATTGTATTTGAAAAATGTACGCCTTAAATAATCTACACCTTGAAGAAGTATCCTGATAAACTGTACTCTAATGAGCCATGTCTTGTAGATCTTCCGAAAATATTTATTTAAATAATCTACGCTTTGTAGAAAACTAATGTAAAAGTTCAAAAAAAATATATTTCAATAATCTACGCCTTGCGGAACACGCGAAATAATATACTTCAGTAATCTACGCCATATTGTAGTCCCGAAAAAGTATATTCCTATAATTATGCCTTGTGGAAGTTCCGAAATAAATATATTTAGAAGTCCTAAAAATGTTTTTTAAATGATCTAGGACTTTCACAACACCCGGAAAAATATATTTCACAAATATACGCCAAGTAGAAGTCCCACAAAAATTTATTTAAAAATGTTATGCCTTGTTAAAGTCCCGAAAATGTTTTTCTATTAATATTATACGTCCTTTCAAAATATTTTTTTTCGCAGATACTGAGGGATTTTTATTATCTATGCGAGAAATACGACATAGAGGTAAGGTATACATAAACCAGTAAGGAAAGTAGTAAAGTCGGACGGGGCCGACTATATAATACCCTTCACCACTTTGGGATTTTCACGAAGCATGTATATGGACTTTGGTGCACCATTTACATAAAATCGGACGAAAATATATATATGGGAGCTATATCTAATCTGAACCGATTTTTCATTTTCAATAGGGTTCGCCTTTGGGCCAAATAAGTGAGCTGTGCCAAATTTCATCCAATTCGGATCATAAATGCTACCTGTACTTTGTTTACAATTTAACATCTACAGACGGACGGACGGCCATGCATAAATCGACTCAGAAAGTGATTCTATGCATATTCTCAAAAGGAACCATGTGTCCATCTCGTATCCTTTTGCCTGTTACAAACATATGCACAAAGACCTAATACCCTGTACCACAGTGTGGTGAAGGGTATACAAATTGACGGCTTCTAGGAATCTTGAAAATGTATTCGTTAAACACACAAGGTCTCTATGAGCCCCGAAAAGCTTTGAAATGCACGCCTTATAAATACCCTAAAAATTTATTTTTATTTTCGTAGTCGCCCTGAAAAATATTCCAGGTATCCTGAAAAATATTCATTCACAGATTCTGAGGAGATTTTTTCCATGTCAAAAATACGACCCTCTCTTTATTTAATTAGGAAACACTATTCTTTCCCAGGGTACGTATACGTGATGTCACAACGTATACGCCACCTATTCCAACTAATAAATTCATAATTATTTAGCAGAACCAGAGCCAGATTTGTCCGATGAAAAAAAATTTTTTGGGGGGGATGCATTTGTGAATAGTCTCTCAGTACTCAGATGCTGATTCTATGGGGTATAAAAATCCACGGCTTCTAAGAATCTTGAAAATATATTCTTCAAACACACAAGGCCTCTATGAGCCCCGAAAACCTTTGAAATGCACGCCTTATAACTACCCTAAAAATGTCTTTTTTAATTTTCTTTGTCGCCCTGAAAAATATTCCAGATATCCTGAAAAATATTCATTCACAGGTTCTGAAGAGATTTTTTCCATGTCAAAAATACGACCCTCTCTTTATTTAATTAGGAAACACTATTCTTTCCCAGGGTACGTATACGTGATGTCACAACGTATACGCCACCTATTCCAACTAATAAATTCATAATTATTTAGCAGAACCAGAGCCAGATTTGTCCGATGGAAAACAAATTTTAGGGGGGTAAGCATTTGCGAATAGTCTCTCATGCTTAGGTACTGATTCTAGGGGAATGAGAAGATACCAATTTTGGGTTTCAATAAAAGCCTTCTCAAACATATTAACTAATAAAATTGTCTCCAGAAATGAGGAGACCATTCTTTTTCCTTGAGAAAAAAATTCATCCATGTCTGAGGAGACATTTTCCGATAGATACAATTTCTTTATGGCCTTGGTAGATATTTTTTCTTAACTTTGAGGGCTGGGAATGTTCTCTGATTTATGGAACATTTTTTAAGAAAACAATATTTTCCGAAGACCTTATTTAACAATTCTTTTCAATTTTACCTCTATGTGTTACTTCGTAATTTTATTTAGTTATCTAACCCAGATAGTGGTATTCACACCACACGATACTTGCGGAAGTAACTAATGACCCGCTGACAAGCTCATGTGAAAGAGAGCCCAAGCGATAGGCGTTAGAATTATTGCGTTAGATTTAACGCAACACAATCTGGGTCAGAACATTAAGAATTTGAATTTGTCACACCATGCTGTGAATTAAAAACCACAACAATAAAAACACCTTAGAACCTCGTTAGCGTTTGACTAGAAAGCCTATTGCGAAATTTTTGCTATAAAAGCAAAATTTCTAGCACCATCAAATCAGTGCAATTTCATTCGATCTTCGCTTTCCAATTCGAAAAAAAAATGTTTCGTTTCCTTCTTGTGGCTTTAATGCTCGGCTATGTTTCCGCAGCTGGTCGTATTATTGGTGGACAATTTGCCACTCCGGGGCAATTCCCCTATCAGGTATCGCTGCAACTCAAGGGTCGCCATCATTGTGGTGGTTCCATAATATCGGAAACCTTTGTTGTTACTGCTGCTCATTGTACCATTGGACAAAATCCCGCTGCAATGAAAGTTATTGTCGGTACCACAGATCTCCAGGCTGGCAGCGGCAAATCTGTGAACGTTGCCCAATTTATAATCCATCCACAATACAACTCCCAAAGTCAAGATTATGATATGTCGCTGATAAAATTGGCGGAGCCATTACAATTGGGTTCCTCAGCAGTGGATAAAATTGAATTGGCCGCTTCGGATGCCAACTTTGCTGCAGACACCTTGGCCACCATAAGTGGCTTTGGAGCCATTAATGGAAATTTACAGTTGCCGAATAAGCTGAAATTTGCCCGTGTTCAATTGTGGTCTCGTGACTTCTGTAATCCACAAAATATTCCCGGTATTACGGATCGGATGATTTGTGCCGGCCATCCTAGTGGACAGGTCAGCTCTTGCCAAGGTGATAGCGGTGGCCCATTGACTGTGGATAATAAACTATTCGGTGTGGTTTCATGGGGCTTTGGTTGCGGTGCTCAGGGTAAACCGGCCATGTACACTTATGTGGGAGCTCTACGTTCGTGGATTAAACAGAATTCAGGAGTTTAAGCAAATAACTTTTGAATTATTTTAACGAAATTTCACATAAATAAATTAATGCAAGCAAGAAAAAAAATTATGTTAAATTTTTTTAGGGCCCATATAAAGCGCGAAATTTTCAAATTATATTTTAATAATTTTTTAAGTCTCTATGGAGACTGGACTTTTAAAAAATATTTTATTGCAGAAATCCTTTAAGGCGTCGAACACCTAAGTCGCTTCCTTTCTCCAATAGCAATAGGTGACGTATAAGTGGTGACACTACGTATACGTAACCTGGGAAGGAATAATTTTATTATTTCAATTAACTCGGTGTGCCCTTAAACGTGGATTTTTTGAGGAAAAATTTCCTGTGCTTTTATAGGACATGGTTTAAAAAAATTTTCCGAGCTCATATAGGGCATGCATTACTAATAAATTACCGAGCTCTTATAAGGCATGGATTTTAAAAGAATATTGTTTCAGGGACATACATAAGGGGTGGACTTTTTAAAGAATGTTTTTAGGGGCTTCAAAGAGAAGTGGATTTTTTTAAACTATTTTTTCGCAGCTCTTAAAAGGCCTGGATTTTTTAATGGACATTTTTCTGAGTTCCCATAAGATGTGGATTTTTTTAAGAATATTTTTCAGGGGCATCATCATCCGGGGCTCTTATAAGGCGTGGATTTTTTAAAGAATATTTTTTCGGGGCTCTTATAAGGCGTGGATTTTTTAAAGAATATTTTTTCGGGGCTCTTATAAGGCGTGGATTTTTTAAAGAATATTTTTTCGGGGCTCTTATAAGGCGTGAATTTTTTAAAGAACATTTTTTCGGGACTCTTATGCATGTCCGTCCGTCCGTCTGTCCGTCTGTCCGTCTGTCTGTCTGTCCATGTATTTTTGTGAACAAAGTACAGGTCGCATTTATGATCCGATTTGGATGAAATTTGGCATAGGTCACTTATTTGGCCCAAGGACGAACCCTATTGAAATTGGGAAAAATCGGTTCGGATTTAGATATAGCTCCCATATATATATATTTAACCGATTTAATGTAAACGGTCCCTATATATCTTTCGATTTGCACGAAATTTGGTACAGCCTAATCATTTAGGTCTAGAATGATGCCTGCCAAGTTTCGTGAAAATCGGTACAGATTTAGATATAGCTCCCATATATAGTTTCGTCCGATTTCATGTAAATGGTGCACCAAAGTCCCTATATATCTTTCGATTTGCACGAAATTTGGCATAACGTACTGAATTAAGTCTAGAGTGATGTCTGCCAAGTTTCAAGAAAATCGGTCCAGATTTAGATATAGCTCCCATATATATTTTTGACCGATTTCATGTAAATGGTGCACCAAAATCCCAATATATCTTTCGATTTGCACGAAATTTGGCATAACGTACTGAATTGAGCCTAGAATGATGCCTGCCAAGTTTAGTGAAAATCGGTCCAGATTTAGATATAGCTCCCATATATAGTTTCGTCCGATTTCATGTAAATGGTGCCCCAAAGTCCCTATATATCCTTCGATTTGCACGAAATTTGGCATAACGTAATGAATTAAGCCTAGAGTGATGTCTGCCAAGTTTCGAGAAAATCGGTCCAGATTTCTATATAGCTCCCATATATAGTTTCGTCCGATTTCATGTAAATGGTGCCCCAAAGTCCCTATATATCTTTCGATTTGCACGAAATTTGGCATAACGTACTGAATTTAGCCTAGAGTGATGTCTGCCTTATAGATTGATTTTAAGTAATTTACGCACCAAGAAACCAATAGGAACAAAACGTTCTGAAATTAGTATAACCTAACCTGTGACAAGTGTGTTTGAAATCGCTTAATATTTGGATAAAGCTTCCATATATATTTTCGCCCGATTTCAAGTAATCAAACTCCTCATGTTAGTCAGATTGACATCAAATTTTGCACAACGTACAAAATTGAGCATAGAATTACGTAGTTGCGTTTTCTAAAAGTACAGGCATAGCCCAACGGATGACCTATTTATATTTGTTTGAAGTGTTGATAATTTATGGACAGATCTAGGTAGATTCACATTTAGATAAATATCACATATTTTATTTCATCCAATTTCATGTTAATAGTCCTGTTTAATATACCCATAGTGGTGAAGGGTATCATATAGTCGGCCCCGTCCGACTTTACTACTTTCCTTACTGGTTTAAAGAATATTTTTTCAAGGTCCCCATAAGGCTTGAATTTTTTAAAGAATGTTTTTCCGGGGCTCCTATAAGGCTTGAATTTTTTAAAGAATATTTTTCCGGGGCTCCTATAAGACTTGGATTTTTTTAAAATATTTTTCCGGGGCTCTTATAAGACGTGGATTTTTAAAAGCATATTTGTATTTCGATTTTATTGGAAGAGACCTTTTGTCTTATTTTGTCTTTGCATTTGTTTTTCTTTTCGCTGCAGATTTCGGCACTGTGGATCCCTCTACTAAGAATGCGGCAATTAGTAGTTTCCCTTCATAGAAATTCATCGTATAATTAAAATTTACAATTGGTGTATATGGAGGTAAAAGGTCTTCGGTTAATATGAAATCCGTCATGTCATATAGAATATTCTGAAAATAGTAGATTTCATTTAAATCCTATTATTTAATAAAAAAATAACTACTCACCGCTTTAATTGGACAATTGCAGGGCAAATTACTCGATGACATCAATTCCATAAATAATTTCTTAATTATCGGTATGCCCTTTACCTGTTTCAAGCCCTCACATATTTCAATTCGCATATTGACAAAGCTACGAATTTTATTATCCTTCGGATATTTAAAGGTTATCAGAATCTCAGTTTCGGCATTTGAATTTAGTTGACGATCCAACATGAAAGCCAAATTAGAGGAATGACGATTTGTGGATAATTTTCGTATACTTGAGTTGATAAATTTCACCGGATATCTATGCTCCACAATTGTCGATCGATGATATTCGACGTTGAAGGAACGTTTTGCTAACTAGGGAAAATACAATTTAAGGTTTTTAGATTATTTTTGATATAATTTACTTTTTTTATAAAACTTACCAAAGGCCTTGGCCAACAAGCCACCAGAATAAAATATCCCATAAATATTTGCAACATTTTTAAAATCGTTTTCACTGTTCCATTGAATGATTTCTATTAATGTGAATTTAGGTTGGATGGTTCGACCAAAAACTGTATTAGTTTTAATAAAACTATAAAATTATGCAGATTGAAAATTTATGATTATTAAAAAAAAAATATTTTAATTAGCGGAATTGAAATGCTCAGATATGTTGTAATCGCATAGGGAAATAGTTTTTAAATGGTTTTTCAAAAATGCTAATGGAAATTTGATAAGTTCGGCTATAACGACACAATCAGCAAAGGCTATAACGAATGAATAGGGAAGTTAATTTTTAAAAATTATTTTCAGGGCTCCTATAAGGTGGGGATTTATATGAAGGCATGGATTTATAAAAAAATATTTCCAGACCTTAAAACAGGCGTGGATTAATTCAAATATATTTTCCAGGCTTCTTGTGCCATATTTTTCAATTTTCAGATTTATTTTTCAGCATATTTCAAATAATACCCTTGCAAGCATATTGTTCACATGGGTGGGAGAATACAGTCTGTTAACCTACTTACAAACATATTTTCTAAAGGGTCAGACGAACCAAAGGGTCATTTTCAAATGGACAGATCTTTTCAAACAATCACACATGCACATACTTACAAACATAATACCCAATTGACATCTAAAGAAACATATTTTTTGCTTTCGAACTCTTTTGTTGGAAATTATTTGAAGCATAAAATTAAATTTTGTGGTTAATTTCGGTAGTTGAGAATTAACAAAATTTAAATGTGATCCGATTTTTATTCATTGCCACCACATGCAAAAACCACACCCAGAAACCCATAATCAAAGAGTTTGAACAATAAAATATGTCTTAATAACAGTTGTCTGTCATGCGGAGAGAGAGGAAATACTGGAAGTGACAGGTTTGGTGGGGGAATAACACTAGAACCCTAAAAATATTCCTTCCGAAAAAATATTCTTTTAAAAATACATGCTTTCCTCCACTTGATATTTCTATCTTATTCGTGGCCTTCCCCTTCCGCGAAAACCATCACCTGGTTCGCTTTTATATGCCTTTTGGGCTGGGACATCTTCATCCATTCTCACAACATGACCTAGCTAACGTAGTCGCTGCAACTCAATACGTCTAACAATGTCGATGTCCGAGAATAGCTGGTACAACTCCTGGTTCATTCGACGGCGATATTCACCGTCAACGCAGATCGGCCCATAGATCTTTCGGAGAAATTTTCTCTCAAACTCTCCAAGAGCTGCCTCATCTGCTTGCTTAAGTACCCATGCTTCAGATCCATATAATAGCACGGGTAGTATCAGCGTCTTGTAGAGTGTGAGTATGGTTTGGCGTGAGGTGGCCTTGTTTCTAAACTGCTTACTCAGACCATAGTAGCGTCTGTTGGCCAGCACTATCCTTCTCCGAATTTCAAAACTGATGTCATCGTTTTATTTATGGCGGTACCACGGTATATAAAATCTATGACTACTTCAAAGCTGTAGTTCTCGAGTTCCACAGTTGGTCCGAGTCTACTGGATGTCTTGTGCGTTGATACCATCACCTTGGTCTTCTCACCGTTTACTGCCAGAACCACTCTTGCAGGCTCCTTCTCAATTTGTTCAAAGGTGGCTGTTACCGCTCTCAATGTTCGACCCATTATGTCGATGTTATCGGCGTAGGCGAGTAACCTGTGTTGTTTGGTGTACAGAGTGCCATTTCTGTTCACCTTTGCCTCTCGTATGACCTTTTCCAGCATGATGTTAAAAAGGTCACACGACAAACTGTCACCTTGTCTGAATCCTCGTTCGGTATTAAGGGGCTCCGAAAGGTCATTTCCGACTTTAACTGCTGATCTTGTGCCAGTTAAAGTTATCCTGCATAGCCGAATTAATTTTGCAGGAATACCAAACGCATACATGGCTTTAAACACCTCTGAA